ACCCCAACCTCACCCACCCTTAATAGAAATATTATTAAGAGTACTTTCTTTTCATGTTGTAAAAAATACTTTTTTTATTTCAACAAAATGAGTATATTCTTTTATTTCAACAAAACAACTACTTTTTTTCATGATGTAGAAAAAGTATTTTACTAAGTATTTTCTTTTCTTGAAATAGAAAAAATATTTTTTTCCAACAAAACGAGTACTTTCTTTTCATGATGTAGAAAAGTATTTTCTTTCATTTCAACAAAATGAGTACTTTCTTTTCATGATCTAGAAAAAGTATTTTTTTCATTTCAACAAACTAAGTATTTTCTTTTCAAAAAATATTTTCTTTCATTTTAACAGAAAAAATTAACAAAACAAGTACTTTTCTCATGATGTAGAAAAAGTATTTTCTTTCATTTCAACAAAACGAATATTTTCTTTTCCTGAAATAGAAAAAATATTTTTTTCCAACAAAACGAGTACTTTCTTTTCATGAAGTAGAAAAAGTATTTTCTTTCATTTCAACAAAACGAATATTTTCTTTTCATGATGTAGAAAAAGTATTTTCTTTCATTTCATGCTGTCGAAAAAGTATTTTCTTTCATTTCATGCTGTCGAAAAAGTATTTTCTTTCATTCAACAAAATGAGTAATTTATGTAGAAATGATACTTTCTTTTTCAACAAAAAACAGTATTCTCTTTTTAGTTATCGAACTCAAATTTTAACATTGTTCTTGTGTGAAAAAGTAAAGTAGCACATTAGTTCCTTTGGGTTTGTGTGAATTTTTAAAAGAATAATTAATTTTTTGAAGAAAATAGAGTCCCGGAGGGTGAAGGGGGGAGGAAGAAGGAGGACAGGAAACATGAGGATTTTGGAGAAGGTGGGTTGAGGAGAGTAGCATGAAAAAATTATTTTCCTAAAAATATTTTATACTCTCTGACCAAACACTAGAAAATATTTTCCGGAAAAAGTTTTTCACTCACCAACCAAACAAGGGAAAGTAAGTGATAAAACCACTCATTATCCATGAAAACATTTTCCATGGAAAACATTTTCCTTCGTACCAAACACACCCTAAAGCATAAAAGATTCAACCAAAAGGGGGAAGAGGAAGTGGATTGAAGGGAGATCAATGCAGCGTGCCATCGCGAATTAAATGACTTCAATTTGTGCTCTCAAAATGAAGACCATGCCGTAGTAGTCATGTTAAGGCATGAAGGTACTATGGACGAAAATTGTTTCGTGTTGCCAAAGAACTGAAACATGTTTCACATGTGCTTATTTTACTTGAAAAAGAAAAAGTTTACTTTTATTTTCTTTTTCTTTTTCTTTTCCAGATAAAGCTTGAAACTATCAATCTCATTTACTAAAGTGAAATTTCCAAAAGAAAAAAAAAAAGGCAGACTAACTTCAATGCAGCAATCTATATAATTTGCTGGGAAACCGTAGGTTATCTTGTTACCCAGGATTCTGAAACTTAAGTTTTCCCGCTTTTGGTCAAATGAAATCAGTGTTGTACCTCGAGATATGTTGTTATCAACGTTTTGGTGCTGAAGTTGAAGCCTTCAACTGATTCCCCTTTCTTACGAGATGCATGAAGTTGCTTTCTGACTTGACTCGCAAGAGACTGCAGAGGACATTAATAAACAAGGAAGCCCGACATCATATTAGTATCGGAGAATGTTCATTTACTAAATTTTAGAACATTTGCCAAGAAATACCTTTCCTAGTTCCACACCCCATTGATCAAAAGAATTGATACCCCATACAAAGCCTTGAACTGCAACTCTGTGTTCATAGATGGCCAGTAACTGAAAGAAAGGGAAGGAAGTGGCAGGTAACTTGAGATTAGGGATCGCAAGAGGCATGTTTGCCTTCACGTAATGCTCACAACTGGAAGATATTATCTTGATAAAACACCATAATCAAAAAGGAAACTCTTTCAGTGTAGCATGATGCCACCCTATCCTCACACCTGTGGGGATGTGAGGGTGGGGCATAATTTAAGAATGTTGAGCATGATAAGAAAATAGGCAGTTAGTCACTTCAACAGTTCGAGCTTTATGAGTAGCTAGTGGTTTATGATTACAATAAATCAAGGAAAGCCCTTCATCCATTGTTGGTCCAACCATGAAGGGAAATAGAAGTCTTTGAATTCAATCACCTTAAGATATAATTTGACAGTTGATAAACTTCACACAAGAGTGTTGAGTTGCAAGCAGTATCAACTATCACCCTGTGCAGTGGTGTGAGAATATGCTCATTATCTTCTCCGACAGAATGATTTGGTTAGTACAAGTATACCCATTTCTGCCTTTAGCCTCTTCTCCAGCTGCAAAGAAGTATGGCGGAGATCTTGGGACGGAGAAGATGCATAGTCCCAGTGGTGCAGATCTATAGGTTAGTTTTCTCACAAATATGAGGCTCTCAATCTGACTTGCAACAAGCTCCATCCCTCTGCATCTAGTTATTTATATTCCTTTCTTTACGGGCAACTAAAAATGCATGTGTTCCAACTTGAGACTTTCTATCAGAAAAGGGATATACTGTCAAGTCATCCATTGAGTTTAAATAAGCAAGTAAAGAAAAGAGATTGGAAGACTTTTACATAGACAAGCTTCGCATGGAACTTTTTAAAGAATTAAGATACCTGAATACAAGATTCTGTTGGTCATTGTAAGTAGCAATTTATTAACCTTTCAGTTAATTAAATATATCGTGCTCATTTCCAATTATAAAATTTCATTGGCAAAATTTATATGGCAAAGTAAGATATCAATCAACCTCAAACGAATCGCCTTGTTGATCTCTTTCAAATGCAGTAGGCTCTTCCTTCTCATGTTTTACCCAAATACCACTAAGCTCTACTACTCTCAAGAATGTAATGACAAACAAAATTCATTGAAAATCATTGATGCAGTTCAAGAAAGGTAGCACTGAGTTCGGCACCATCAATTATACAGTGGTACAAACTCGACGCATAGGACATACCGTGTCAGTCAATACTCAGAAAGCACTTGTAAAAAAATCTAATGATCTAATATCTCATACCTGTCCAATGTTGTAAGCATTCAATGATGGAAGTAGTATACTTAGAGAAGGTCTATTTCCAGAAAACGTCTGCAAGATATTGGAGGAGTTTGAGAAAAGACCACTTAATAAAGCACAATATCATCAAATAAGAATTGTTAAGGAATTACCTTATGAGAAACAAGATACTCGGCGACGTTCTCCTTTCGCAACTGCTCTGGTGTCTGTGAAGAAAGTCAGTACTCATAGGTGATTTGATACTAATAGACCTTCTTTGATTCTTAACATTGGTTAAGGATCAAAGTGAATGTAGACAGACCCTTATGTAATGTACATAGTTAGCAGAATTATAGGGATTCACAGCAGATTTATACGATCTCCTTTTTTATTCTTTCTATAGTTAGGGATCTATGTACTTGTATATATATTTTTTACTTATTGGAATAATATACAACGAGATTGCTCTATTGTCTCTATATTTAACATGGTATCAGAGCCTCGTTAGAGTTGGGGATTAATACTTTGCCGGTGTTGGCGAGCGTGAGTCAAGTGCCGACATAATTTTTTTTCCAGCAAGGCACTGCCCGACGACGAGTGCCAGCGTGTGACACGTCGGTTTTGTATCTAGCTTTCACTCGCAAGATTACCTCTCTGTTTCCGGACAAACCGTGGTGGTTCCCTGACCAACGGACCACGCTGCTCTTGTTTTGTTATACTTGGAAGAATCTGTCAACTTCTCTCTCTCGGTCAGATCTGAAACTTTTGGTTCTCATCTCCCTTTGGCTGATTTGTGTTTTTGATTCACAAATATTAGTTATTGGGGTTACTCTTCTACGAAGTTCTACTGATCACGATCAGAATTTTTTTTTCCGATTTGGTTCTCTGATTTGTGAGCTCTTTTGCTGATCTCTATGGCTTCTCTGTTTTGTAGTGCTTCTGTTCTCTAAGTGGTTGATTTAATTTCTTAATCTCTGAAGAACCAGAAGTTCTGCAGAAAGCAAGGATTGTTTCTTCATTCTCATTTGGATATTGTTTTTTGCTGTTTGAAGAAAGTGGGGACGTGATATAATTCTCTTTGACTTACTACTGTTTGGATCTAAGCTCTATTGGAGTACTTTTAGTAGAGTTCTGCTGTTTTTCCCTTAAGTTATTTTGATACTTTTGGTTGGGAACATGACGGGAAATAATAAGCAAAGAGGAAATAATGCTACAGCTCCTAGTCCAACAATCTTAGTTTCGGATGAGTTTCGAAATTCCTTCAATATTAGAAATCAATTAAGGAATCTTCTTCCGTTACATAAAACATGCCTTATCACCTCTTCAAGTAAATGGGTGATTGATTCAGGTGCCACAAATCACATGACAGGTAATCCAATTATTTTTTCCAGTTCTCGATTATAGAAAGCACCCTATACTGTTACTGTAGCTGATGGATCAACTTGTAGCAGTATTGGATCTGGGACTGCTAAACCAACTTCCTCTATTACCTGTCATCTGTCTAAAGTCTAACAAGCTTGACCTTTAATTTGATTACTGTTAGTAAAATCACCAAAGGCCTTAATTGTTGTGTCGGTTCTTTCCTGATCATTGTTTGTTTCTAGATCTCACGACGAAACAGGTTAGTGGTAAAGGATATTTATCTGGTGACCTATACATCCTTGATGAATGGGAGTCACGGCCTGTTGCATGCTCTAGTGTTGTATCTCCTTTTGAAGTACATTGTCGATTGGGACATTGTTCTCTACCTTTGTTGAAGAAGTTTTGTCCTCAGTTTCGGAATATTTACTCATTGGATTGTGAGTCATGTCGACTTGCAAAACACCATCATATCTCGCTAGGTAAAAGGGTTAATAAGTGAGTTGAGTTAGCTTTTGAGTTAGTGCATTCTGATATTCAGAGACCATGTCGCGTTGTTTCCAAAACTGGGCATAAGTATTTTGTCACTTTTATAGATGATTTTTCTCGAATGACTTGGATTTACTTTATGAAGAGTCGTTCAGAAGTGCTTACTCACTTTTCTGCCTTTTGTGCTGAAGTCGAAACTCAATTCAATGTTTCAGTGCGTATTCTAAGGAGCGATAACGCTAAAGAATATATGTCAGAGTTATTCCGGTCCTACATGAGACAACATGGTATACTACATCAGTCTTCATGTGTTGATACACCTTCATAAAATGGAGTTGCCGAGAGGAAGAATAGGCATCTACTTGAGATAGCTCGGGCACTTTTGTTCCAAAAGAAGGTTCCTAAATAGTTCTGGGCAGCTGCGGTCTCTACGGCGTGTTTTATGATTAATCGCACGCCATCTACTTTGCTTGGTGGTAATGTGCTTTACAGTGTTCTTTTTCCCAAACAAGTCATTATTTCCGATGGAACCTAACATGTTTGGTTGCACATGTTATGTCCGAGATGTTCGATCATCTGTTACCAAGTTGGATCCGAAGGCATTGAAGTGTGTTTTCCTAGGCTATTCTCGCTTTCAGAAGCAGTATTGGTGTTATTCTACTGAACTTGGCAGATATCTGGTGTCAACTGATGTGGTATTTTCAAAGACTACACCATTCTTCTATACACCTCCCATTTCTACAAGTCAGGGGCAGTAAGATGAATGGCTAGTATATCAGATTACCCGTGCTTTGACAGAACAACCAGATGATGTTCCTACATCTCCTAGTTCTTCTATTGAGCACCAATCGACTATTATGCCTTCACCACCTACTCTAATTGTGTTAGCAAGACCGCCAATTATTCAAGTTTACTCGTGGAAGCGAAAGACAAATGATACATGTCCTGCAACAGTTCCTTCGTCATCAGATCCTCCTCCACCTGATCCTCCAGAGAACCTTGACCTTCCTATTGCTCTTTGCAAAGGTATACGTACTTGCAAATCCACATATTTCATTGCTAATTTTGTTTCCTATGACCGCTTATCCGATGCGTCTAGATCTATGATTGCTTCTCTAGACTCCATCATGGTTCCCAAAACAGTGAAGCAAGCTTTGAATCATCCTGGATGGTATGATGCAATGTTTGAGGAAATACATGCCTTAGAGGATAATCACACGTGGGATTTGGTGGATTTACCCAAGAAAAAGAAACCAGTATGATGTAAATGGGTCTTAGAAATTAAAGTTAATCTAGGTGGTTCCGTGACAACACTTAAGGCCAGACTTGTAGCTAAAGGGTATGCTCAAACTTATGGGGTGGATTATTCTGACACCTTCTCTCTGGTTGCCAAACTCACTTTTTTCCGCTTATTTATTTCTCTAGTTGCTTCCGAGAATTGGCCTTTACATCAGTTGGATATCAAGAATGCGTTCCTTCATGGTGATCTTCAGGAGGAAGTGTATATGGAGCAACCATCCGCTTTTGTTGCTCAGGGGGAGTATGGAAAAGTTTGTCATTTGAAGAAGTCCTTGTATAGCATGAAGCAGAGTCCTCGAGTTTGGTTTGGCAAGTTCAGTGAGGTAGTTCAGGAGTTTGGGATGAAAATGAGCAAGTGTAATCACTCCGTCTTCTATCGGCAATCAGCAGCTGACACTATTCTCCTTGTTGTATATATTGGTGACATGTTATCACAGAAGTGACTATGCGGGGATCTCTTCCCTCAATCATTCCTGCATACTAGATTTCATACAACGGACTTGGGCCTGTTGAAATACTTTTTGGGAGTAAAAGTAAATAGAAGCAAGAAGGAAATTCTTTTGTCTTAGAGAAAGTATATTCTTGACTTGCAGAAATTGGAAAGTTGGCAGCTAAACCCTGCAGTACCCAAATGGTTCCTGATGTGCATCTTATGAAAGACGATGGCAATCCTTTAGATGATCCAGAGAGATATAGGAGGTTAGTTGGGAAATTAAACTACCTCACTGTCACTCGTCTAGATATTGCTTTTCCGGTAAGTGTTGTTAGCCAGTTCATGTCCGCACCAATGGCCAAACATTTGGGCAGCTTTGGAACAGATTTTATGTTACCTGAAAGGAGCTCCTGGACTTAGTATATTATACTCGAATCGAGTGTGTTGCAGATGTTGGTTCAGCTGGATTCAAAATTGGTAGAAGATCTACTACAGGTTATTGTATCTTTGTTAGAGGGAACCTTGTATTGTGGAGAAGTATGAAGCAAAGTGTTGTATCTCGATCCAGTGCAGAATCTGAGTACAGAGCTATGTCACAGTCTATGTGTGAGATTATGTGGATACATCATCTTTTGAGTGAAATTAGGTTGAAGCATCCAATACCAGCAAAACTCTGGTGTGACAATCAAGTTGTCCTCCATATTGCGCCAAATCTGGTGTATCATGAAAGAACTAAGCATATTGGGGTTGACTGCCATTTTATTCGTGAGAAGATTTAGAAGAACTTGATATCCACTGGCTACGTTAAGACAGGAGAGCAACCAGCTGATTTATTCACAAAGGCATTGAATGAAATTTGAGTTGATTACCTTCGTAACTGGTGGGGAACAAGACATTAATGTAAAGAGTAGGAAGATTATCTCACCTTCCCATAAGCAAGGGCATCTGGCTGCGCAAAGAAGTTTGACATGAGCTCATCATGGTTGCTCACCACTTCATCTGAAAATGAGTTTCCCAAAATTAAGAAAGTGGAAGCAAATGGACAAAGCAGCACACTACAACCTAGGTGTCAACATTTTATTGTGTCTTTGTCTGTAAAATGGGAATGAGAAACAACACCGAAAAAGAAGAATATAAGAAGTAAGATGGAATTTGTACCTTTCAGGTAAACAGGTTGCTGACTCTTAACAACACCAATAAAATCACAAGGAATAACACGACCCTGAAAATTCCAGGAAGATGGTATTCAACATTCAAGTGCGATATTGTAGAAAACTAAACATACCAAGATTAGATACATGATCGCTTGTTTTACTGATAATGATCAGACCACAATAGTTATTCAACGAAGAAGCATGGCCTTCCACGCAACACTTCCTATGTACCTTTTATGATATCTCAAAGAGTACAAAGCTGAAATATATAAAGTTAAGGAGACATAAAACGAGCTATTATCATCAAATAAGTAACCAACAACTAAAATCCACTCAGACAACAGCCAAGAGCACCACCAGATCTCCATTCTTCTTTAACACTGCCTTTTAGGGTTGATTGTTTGGGGGCGGCTGTTTAGTCATCTTGGGGTGGAGAGCTAGGTTAGAGTTTTGGACCATCCCCGCTAACCAACCCTAAAATATCCAAATCTACATCCTTCAATTGCCACATCCCAAAAATAATTAAATGAAGAGAACCAAAGCACCACGTGATAACGCAACAAGACTCACAAATCTACTCCTAAATTGAATCACGTGACTATATTACATAGCATGTTGAACTTATGGCTTGTTGGACAGGAATCCAGATGCAATTCTCTAATAACCTTGTATGTAGTTTTGAGAGGTCTTCTTCAGATTATATCATTAATAAAGATATCATTAATATGATTTAAAAGATTATTAGTAGCAAATGAACAATATTCTTTTCTTACAGAGGCTTTTCACATGAAATATTTTTAATGACATAATCCCCACCTTGAAAAACAAAATAACGTAAAGCTCCTGAAATTACAGATTAATTAAGTTGAGCAGTATTTAGATGAAGATTTAGTCAACAAACTGTAACCATCAACATATCATGAACAAGAAAAAGCTGACGCATGTTACCTGCCTAAATCAAGTACAGGATGGGCATAATTTCAGAACAAGCATGAATTGTTGGCACCTGATATTTACGCTACCTGGTGAATTAATTGGTAAAAGCTGTGTTGGCCATTTGTCCCTGGTTCACCAAAATCAATTTCACCAGTCTCATAAGGAAGAGGGACACCATCAATAGATACTCCTTTCCCATTACTCTCCATACTGACCTGAACTCAATCAAATTTTGGTAAAGGTCGCAAGTTTGGCATCTGGAATAAAATACAAGCAAACAAGTTAGTGTAACATGCCTGTTGAATATGAGGTGCGAATTTCTCCAGTGCTTGAGAATAGGGTAATATTGCCTGAAATTGTCTAAAAGGTTCAGTATAATGGTATGGATTAGTCGACCAGACGCCCCCGACTCAAACAGAATGATAATACTCACTCGTGCTGAATATCCAAGGAAAGAAACATTCCACACACTCAGCAAGCCTAATAGCACCTGAAACAATGATGTGATATTAAGAAATCAAGCAATTGAGTTCAATGATGTGATTATAGAAATCAAGCATCTGATGAGACAAGCAGAATAAAGTCGATATTAGCAGAACAAGGCTTGGGATTGAGGCATAATAGTTGTCATATTGGCAGAGAAATCAATAACCAAAGGTGCAAATGGGATTGCAAAAGAATCTTTACGGGTTTGAACTAAAACGAGAACGGGGAAAAAATCGAAAAATAAATTTAAGGACAATATATTGCAGAAAGAATAAAAGCATACAGCTAAAATGGCTAAGAGAACCCGGGGCCAAGAAAGCTTCGTTCCTTATGAAAGGAAGAGGAAACAGAGAATTTTTAACCATAGATGAAAGACTTCAGATTCCCTAGCTCGGTAAGAATAATTAGAATACAAGGACACAAGAACTGGACCGGGCTAGAGGACTCTGTACCGTTTCCATCATCCTAACAGCAAATCAAGCAATTAGAGCTTCAAATTGTATGATTGTTCTTGGGAAATTGGAAAAAAAACAACTAGGGGTGCAGGGCTAGGCTCGATATCGGGATAAAAAATTCAATCTTATTTAACACAGCACATACCATTGGCTAGGAGTAGAATGAAGCTTCTAGTCTAAGATACAGAGGATACACGAGTAGACACGATATACATCGGTATAAGCACACACGTAGCTTTGCATCATACGATCTGCCAAAGTATTTATTATTTGTGAAGTTTGTGCTTTCACTTAGCCCCTCTGTTTGGACTTATGAATTCACGGAGTATACCAAGTGAACATCATAGAAAGCTTATAGCACTACCATTCATGAGAGAACAGAACAATTAACTAGCAAGAGAGAACATCACCAAAACATAAGTTTCTATGAAGCTTCTATTCTAATATATATTTGATACATGAGTAGACATGATATACATCGGTATAAGCACCGTGCATTTTCATACAATCTGCCAAAGTATTTATTATTTGTGAAGTTTGTGCTTTCACTTAGCCCCTCTATTTGGACTTCTGAATTCACGGGGTATACCAAGTGAGCATCACGGAGAGCTTATAGCACTAACATTCATGAGAGACGATAACAATTAAGTAGCAAGAGAGAACATCACATAAACATAAGTTTCTATGAGCTCGGACATACAGGTACATTTTTCTCAAAGGGTGCTGAGTAGAAATGCTGATCAACACTGGAAGCTCCCTTCAGAAATCTTAACAAGTAGAAAGCATGTCAGAAAATTTGATAAAAGCAGTACAAACAGCAGCAAAAGAAAAAAAGAAAGCAGAATGAAAGACCTATTACATGCAACATAATTAAGGAAACCGCTACAGGTCGACGACTAATTATTCAAGGAGCGAAATGCCCCGCTGCTTCAGATATATAGTGTTTTCTTGATGTAGAAAGATAATCCACCAAAGCAATAATGTTGGCAACCAAGACCCTATTATCAAACTAAGAAATGGAGACACCAGCTTTGAACTAGAATAAGTACAGCAAGCCCATCATTATGTGGGCAGAGAAGGCAATGTTTTTCAGTCTCTAGCTTTTCACCATATACTCGAGGTAATGATTATGGAAAAACATATTATGGATACAACTATTAAGCAGATGCGATTTATAGTTTTATACTGTCCTGTCAGTAGGGCATGAGAAAAGCATACAACTACAAAACCGATTTAGACGTGTATGGTCAATGTTGCATGAGATATTCAAATAACAGGTGAGATCTAGGTGCAAAGATAACTTCAAATTACTTACTTCTCAACAATGGGAAATCCATATTGCAGAGAAAGAGGCAACACTCCAACTGCACTGCAGACTGCAAAAAGAGGATTAAAACAAATATATTGATAATTTTCTTTTGATAATTAAGATTAAGAAAAATAATTCGATAAGTGAAAGTTGATAGAAAAATTTATGTCGCATACCAAGATACTCTTGAAAAGGAAAAGACTTACCACTATATCGACCTCCTACCCAGTCCCAGAAAGCAAATGCATTATTGGGATCAATGCCAAACTGTTCTACTAGCTGTAAAAAATTGTTACATTTAGTAAATAATTTAGTGGGATCAAACATAATGTATATTCAGTGATGAAACTTAAAATCTAGCTGAATCAGAAATCTCTAATATCCTTTATTAAGAACAAAAAAAAAGGTACTCCTCAATCCACGTATTGGATGGAATCAATCCTAAACCTTCTGCAATCTAAAAGAGATAAGCCACTAAAAGTTCTGTTTATAACAAGTGATAAAAATTAAGAAAGAAAAACCGAAAAAAGGTTTTGTTGCATACACAAACTAGATATAATAGTAACACTTGAATATGCATGGCCATACTAGCCAAAGCACCATTTAAATGCAATTACACTTCCCTCCCTGGAGACAAAGCCCCGATATCCTGTAAGGAGCATATTCTTCACATTTGTAGGAAGGGCAAAGGATTAACGATTTACTCGCTATATAAGGGAAATTGGAAGATAAACTAGAAGAAGATGTACTATAATTTCTACACAATGCACTGATTAGGGGGAAAACCTTTTAGGCCTTTGTAATTCTAACAGGTCATTGGTGTTAACCTGGCGATGAAATACATTCACATTTTAAGATAAAAACTGACCGATTTGGCTACACCTAGCAGATTAAGTTGGCAGGACATCAAGATTCATTTAGAGAAAATATTGGAAGTACTATAATCCCCCTCCAATTTATGGCACTCTCATTTGGGAAAGTTACAAAATGTTTAACAACATTCCTTTTACTATAAAAAATTCAATATTTTCAAGAATTCAAATTCATAAAAATATCATAATTTTAAAATTTGATGTGACATTTTCTCTTTCAACTAACTTTTCAATCATAACTTAAAACATTTTCCTTCTACTATCACTACTATATATATANGGACTTTGATAGGGAAGTCTATAGAGTTAACGAAGATTCTCCATAAGAGGAAGATCAATATAGCTTGTCTCCAAGAGACTAGATGGGTGGGAGATAAGGCACGGGATGTAGACGGATTTAAACTATGGTACTCTGGACGCGTGGGGGGCAAGAACGGGATAGGTATCTTGGTTGATAAGGATCTCCGAGAGCTAGTAGTGGACGTTAGGAGGGTAAACGATAGGCTGATGAGTATTAAGCTACTTATTGGGGGTTTTACTTTAAACGTGATTAGTGCGTATGCACCTCAAGTGGGCCTGGACGAGGAGGTCAAAAGGCGCTTCTGGGAGGACTTGGATGAGGTTGTGTGCAGTATTCCGCACACTGAGAAGCTTTTCATAGGAGGAGATTTCAATGACCACATTGGGGCAACGTCAGGAGGTTACGATGACGCGCATGGCAGCTTCGGTTTCGGAGTTAGAAACGGAGGAGGAACTCCGCAGTTAAATTTTGCTAAGGCGTTTGATCTGGTGATAGCTAACTCAAGTTTCCCACGAGGGAGGAGCACTTGGTTATATTTCAGAGTTGGGTAGCCAGAACTCAAATTGATTATCTACTCTTCAGAAAGTCTGACAAAGGTCTATGCACAGACTGCAAGGTCATCCGCAATGAGAACCTCGTGACCCAGCATAGACTCCTGGTCATGGATTTGGAGATTAGAAGGAATCGAAGAAAGAGGGTAGTGTATGGTAGGATCAAGGAAGCTTTGACTAAAGACATAGTCCAGGAGGTTGGGATAAGTTGCTGACTATGGGGGCATGCAGGAGTAGTGGGGACGCGAGTGGTATGTGCACCGCGACTGCGAATTGCATCAAGGAGGCTGCTAGAGAGGTATTGGGGGTCTCGAAGGGCTCCTCTGGTGGCCACAAAGGGGACTAGTGATGGACTTCTGAGGTCCAAGGTAAAGAGGAAGCCAAGAAAACGGCATATTTGAAGCTTTTGGAGATCGTGGACGAGGAGGAGAAGAGGACGAACAGGAAGCGGTATAAGGTGGCTAAGAAGGCGCGTTTGAATGCTTGTATGATGAACTTGGAGGCAAAGGAGGAGACAAGAAGCTGTACAGGTTAGCCAAGGTGCGAGAAAGGAAGGCCTGTGACCTGGATCAAGTGAAGTGCATCACGGACGAGGAAGACAGAATTTTGTTGGATGAGGCAGTTATTCGACGGAGATGGCAGACTTACTTCCATAGACTCTTGAACAAAGAGAGGATAGGAACATTGTGTTAGGGGACTTAGAATATTCCGAGAATTGTGGGGACTTTGGGTATTGTAGGTGTATAAAAGTTGCGAAGGTAGAGGGGGCTATGCGCAAGATGAGCAGGTGAGAGCTACCGGGCCAGACGAAATCCCGGTGGAATTTTAGAAAAGCGTGGAAAGGGCGGGCATGGAATGGCTCACTAGGTTATTTAATGTCATTTTTAGGACGAAGAAGATGCCCGAAAAATGGAGATGGAGCACAATGATCCTGTTGTACAAGAACAAGGAGGATATCCAAAATTGTAATAACTATCAGAGTATCAAGTTTACTAAGTCATACTATGAAAGTCTTGGAGAGGTGGTGCAGCTAAAGGTGAGGAGGATCGTGTCTATTTCTGAGAACCAATTCGGATTTATGCCGGGACATTCGACCACAAAAGTCATTCACCTTGTTAGGAAGTTGATGGAGCAGGATAGGGAGAGGAAGAGGGAGTTACACATGGTGTTCATCGACTTAGAGAAGGCTTACGATAAAATGCCGAGGGAGGTTCTGTGGAGATGTTTGGAGGCTAGAGGTGTTCCTGTTGCATACATTAGGGATATTAAAGACATGTATGATAGAGCTAAGACTCGAATGAGGATAGTGGGAGGGGACTCGGAACACATCCCATTTGTAATGGGATTGCACCAGGGGTCAGCCCATTCCTATTTGCCCTGTCGATCAACGCACTGACGCACCACATTCAAGGGGAGGTGCCGTGGTGCATGGTATTTGTAGATGACATTGTAGTGATTGATGAGACGCAAGGTGTCGTTAACGAGAGGTTAGAGGTTTGGAGGCAGACACTGGAGTCTAAAGGTTTCAAGTTGAGTAGGACCAAACAGAATACTTGGAGCGCAAGTTCAGTGCTGCGACTCAGGTAATGGACGAAGACGTAAGGCTTGATTCACAAATCATCCCTAGGAAAGAGAGTTTCAAGTACCTTGGGTCAGTTATATAAGGAAATGGGAAGATCGACGGGGATGTCACACATCGTATTGGGGCGAGATGGATGAAATGGAGGCTTGTTTTCGGTGTTCTGTGTAATAAGAATATACCATCAAGACTTAAAGGAAAGTTCTATAGAGCGGTGGTCAGACCAACTATGTTGTATGGGGCGAAGTGTTGGCCAATCAAGAATTCCCATGTCCATGACAAGTTGAGATGGATGTGCGGGCATACCAGGTTGGACAGAAATAGGAATGAAGTTATCCAGGACAAGGTAGGCGTGGCCTCTGTGAAAGAAAAGATACAGGAGGCGAGACTTAGATGATTCGGGCAGCATGTAAAGAGGGGAGGCATAGATGCACCGGTGAGGAGGTATGAGAGGTTGGCCTTGGAGGGCCAAAGAAGTATTGGGAAGAGGTAATTAGGCGGGATATGGCATTGCTCCAGCTTACTGAGGACATGACCATGGATAGGAAGGTGTGGAGGCTGAGGATTAATGTAGAGGGTTAGGTAGCTAAGCGTTGTCCTTGTTTGTTACAGTAGATTTAGTGCATCACTTGTCTTTCGTGTACTCGTATTCCTAGACTTCTGATATTACTTGTTATTGCCTTCGCTTCGGTTTTCTAATTGCACTACTTAGTGTTAGTTTTATGTTTTCGCTTGGTTTTCCGATTGGTTTGCTTGTCATTGCCCCTTCCCTTTAGAGCTGAGGGTCTACCGGAAACAGCCTCTCTACCTTTTTAAAGGTAGGGGTAAGGTCTGCGTACACACCACCCTCCCCAGACCCCACCTGTTGAAATACACTGGGTTTATTGTTTTGTGTGTGTGTATATATATATAACATCTTAAACTCTATATCATGGCAAATACCGCCATATAAAATAGAACACATAGAGTACTACAAAGGATCTGCAAACTGCAAACCAGAAATCTTCTGATCTCTGTTCTATACCAAGATACATTGTCAAATTAAGCTAAACTTGAAGATGCTACTTACCACAATAAGTATGATTACAATGCAACAAGAGGTTCAAATGAGATGGAATAAAATGAGAAAAGAATATGAGTGCACCTTAAGATTGGTACTAACTGCAACCATATGCTTTGCAACTGCCTGAGGTCTGAAAAATAAGAATGCTCTCCCCAGAAACGGGAGGACTGGAGTCAAGCAAAGATTCATGACAACAAAACCAACATAACATCATAAAGAAATAAGCACTGCTCAACAGACTACAGTAGCTTCTACATGTGACCAGTATACTAAGAACACTGAGTGATCCATGCAATTTGTATTGTCGACTGTAAAGTTGAACTAGCATGGTTCATTTCCTAAGCTTTGTTCAGCTGGTAATGACAATGTCAGTAAAATAACACGTAGCAGGTGATGGTAGCTTCGTTGATTAATGCTTTTTCCCATCTTGCCTTTCTACAGTAAAATAAAATGTGAATATATCTTGTTTGTATTGGTTTGTACATGCTAATAGCTAGATACCGGACCATCAGACCTTCTCTTACTTAGCATTTAAGTAGAGCAAGGAATTATCAGGTTCTTTTTACCAAATTAAGACTCGTCCAGCAAAGGAAAAGTCAACAAAGAATGGACTAGTAATATATATAAGTCAATAACGTCGCTAAAAGGTTAAACCAATTTGTGCACCATAAAGAAAGAGGTTTTCTTTATGTATCCTGAAATCACCTCGACGAGACATTTACCAAAACTGAACTTCTCTTAATATCTTTCCAAAAGGACGGAGACACCAACATTCCCTCTAACAGGGTGGCAGCTACAGGTTTTGTTAGAACCTGGACAGACAAGCAAGTTAATCTAGGTTCATGCACAAATGATCTAAGCTAACCACCTCAGGCTAACTAGTCGTTTCCGGACATAGAGGACCAGATTAAGGTCCTATCAGTGGTACTATCAATATTTCCATTCATGAGGCACAGAATAAAATCAATTTTCGAGAAGTATACAGTAACAAAACATATAAGATGGGCATCAATATTGTCACACTAACCCCAATGCAGAGGAGATCCATTCCCTCAGTGTACGGGCATTTAGCATTGTCTCGGCGGTAGTAAAAGTCTTTGAGACCACCACAACTTCAAGCAAGACAAGAAGATATTATCAAGGATAAGTCCGACATATTTATGTTTCTCCAGCTGTTGGAAAATAACATAATTAAATCTTAATTCACCTAGAGTTGTTTCAGGGTTCAAGCCTGTTATATTTCTGGCTACATCAATTGGATCAACATTTGCGAGACTGCCACCACAACGAAATGTAAATGTCATTACTCTCACAATTCCTTTTCTTTAACCAAAAAAAAAAAAGAAAACATAATATATTCATTGCTCTAAACCAGAAATACCGGACCATTTAAAGCAGGGCATAACATGTATGCCAATGGTTGCAGGGCAATTAAAAGGTTACATCAGCCAAATGACTAAATGAGTTTAGATAAAAGTATAAAACTACTTGCTCAAATCCAGAATTGGTTTAACTAATTCCGTTACACTTACAATCGCAGTTGTCGCCCTCTTGCACACTCAATAGCCTCCGCTTCTGTAAATGGTCAGGTTTAAAGTTTTAACATTTGGCTGGCCAAAACTAGACAGCAAAGAAAGCACAAACAAACAAATAGTATTTGTTAGAATGAGAGTGTCCTATCCATACCTGTTTGAAGTGCTGTGTGTACAAACAAAGGGCCTAAGAAACTGCCACCTATACCAATAGCTACAACATCTTTCAAAGCTTTTCCTGTGGCTCCAACCTATCAAGAATTGCCTCTTGATTTAGAAATTAAGCAGTATTGCTCAAACGAATATCACTTTAACCGATATTACCCAGGCACCACTGCGAACCCTCTCAGAGAAGTCTCGGATCTTATCAAGAACTTGCCAAACCTCAGGTACAACATTCTTCCCATCACTATTTATAACAGCATCCCTCGGAGCTCGCAGTGCAACATGAAGAACGGATCTGTTTTCTGTACTGTTTATCTGCAAGAAAGATAAAAAGATCATGATGTCAAACCGCTTCACTAGTTGACCGGCCCTCTGTCCCAATTTGTGTGACGGTGGATTAGGCACGGAGTTTAAGAAGGGGAAAAAAACTTTTGAAACCTGTGATCTAAAACAAGACAACTTGTGTAGCTATAAATCATCACTAAGGGTAAAACAAAAAAATCAAGATTAAATTGTTTCTAAAAAAGGACGTATGACATTCTCTTTGGAACAGACTAAAAACTTACGTATGAAACATAAATGGGGACAGAGGAGTAACTTTTCCATAGGTATTTGAGCACTCGAGTTGCTAATATCAGACAAACTAAGAATCCCTTAGTCGTGAGAGCACACTGATATAGATAGTCAATATTTGAATTACCAAATCCTATTATTTGAAGGAGAAAATATGTTTGAGTTCCTTAATATAGAAAGGACATGTAAATGTAGACAATAAATAAATCTTTTAAACAACTTAGCAAGATACAAGTAATGCAAATATATAATAGTAATACAAAGTGCTTAATCATTTTTCATATAAAGGATGTTGACTTCTCATAGGACCAAACATACTGAAAAAACTGCGTTTGTGGGTGGGAAAATATTCTAGTTCCTCAATTTTAATTTTTAAGATGTTGATGATTCATTGGCATACAGGATAAATAAACATACTATAGCCATAAATTTGAGTTTAATCCAGTCAATGATGCTGAATTAAAAGACAATTCTAAGATGCAAAAATAAATTAAATGACAAATAGGGAACAAAAAAATACATCTATCAAAGAACAAAGTTAACTACATCTATCGAAGAACAAAGTTATCTTATCCTATGATTCAACATAATTATTTTTGATAAAATAAGGTAATTTTTTATTTGCAGATGTGTATAGCAGCCAAAACTATTCTTCAACATAAGTAACATTGCACTAGTCAAATTAATTTATGCTCAACAAAGACGCGATTGATAGAAAAATAATATTTGCTTACACGCTCTCCATTGAACATCCGATTAATCTTCTCCTTGACACGGGCTGCCTGCCTCATCAAAACAGGAAGAATGCAAGATTATAACTTTCTAAACACCTGAAAATTTTGTATAAGGAAACAAACCTCAGCTAAATTGAAGAGCTTATTCAAGGTTCCAGTAGTTGCTCGTTGTCTCGAGTAATCCAGCAGGATCCCATCAAACTCCCTATAAACAAAGAATGAATCAGGCACCTCATAATCCAAAATATAATCCGCAGTCTTATTCTCCTAGAGTTACAAATAGAAACTTTTCTAATTAATTTTTTTTATTTTAAATGGAGATATCTAAGGTTCAAAGCAAAAGAGCTCGTTATTCCATTTTGAGATCTTTAGACTTGTACGGTCATAATAGAGTCCCTTAACTTTCCATTAAATTAGCCAACTGCTGCACCCTACAACTAGTATAGTACGGCAAAGCAGCTAGGCTAAGTATCATACATCATCATTGAATGGCATCGACTAGTGTCATTCATCAAATCACGCAAATGAGTCTTTTTAATATCCTCAACATGAACCTGCAAAAGCATAGAAATATGACATCAATTACATTAATTCATATCTCCTAACACATGTAGCACATTTTATTGCGAGATTGCTTACTCTCAACTCCTTCCAGGGTTCACTATCGCAAATTAAAGTAGACGATGCCATCTGCAACAGTAATAAGTAGCTATGTGGTTATAAATTTTACATTCAACACAATCCAAATTGACAAAACAATAAAGTTCAAATTCAAGTATTAACAATTTTGAAGACTAATCTATCTTCCAAGGGCGGCTCTAGGGTAAGGCAAGCGAAGCTCTTGCCTTAGAGCCCATTTGGCTTAGCTGATTTAAAGTAGTTGATAAGCATTAAATGCTTAAAAACACTTTTAAGTGCTGACGCTGATATAATAAATAAGTAGTTACATGTTTGGATGAAAGTGTTGAAATTAATAATGAGCAGCTGAAGTGTTTGATAAAAAGTGCCGATAAGCATTTTTTTTATTATAATGACTTAAATGCCCTTAAAGCTATTTACACTAATAAAGGCATAATTTTTCAACATTATAGATTTCAAACTGATTCAAATACAAAATAATTTATATCTCATTTTATTTTTAATACAAAATTGATCATATAAGACTATTTTGTATAAATACAAATTATTTTATAATAAGCATATAATCACAAGCTATAAATAATTAATAATTTGATAATGGTTGTGAGAAAGCAGTAATCTATCTTTTAATTTTTTTCAATTGTTATCTAACAAGGACTAGTTAAATTTTTTTTTACTTATCCGGTTGAAGCAGTTGAATCTGACTCTTTCATTAGAGTAGTATGGAGAAAATTAAAAATAGAAGAAATAGAGATCCCCAAAGGAATTAAAATAAAGAAGAATTACGATAAGAGCTTCAAACTTCAGAATGAAAACCACAATTTATCTTACTTGATTAACAGATGCAAATGAATTCGACGAAGTAAATAAGATAAATGAAGAGTGATTCATAAAAGAGAAAGCATTCTCACCCAAATCTGATTACTTTTCACGTGGAAGAGTTTGAGAATTTTGATTGTTCCTTGATGGAAGATGCTGGGTTTTGAGAGAAGAAGTGAAATGGGTGAGGGAGCGAAGTCGTGGAGAAAATTATGGGTTTATTTCGGTAAGGGTACATGTGGAACTATGAAGCAATATTAGGGATAGAATAGTAAAAGCATTGGTCAGACTTACCGCTTGTAAACTGAGAAATACTATTAGAAATACTAATAGTCTACTTGGCCAACGTTCTCCAAGTTGAAAATCACTTCTTTCAAAGTTTGAAGTGTTTGGTAAGCTTTTAAAATATAAAAAAGTATTTTTGAGTGACTCAGAAACAGTTTTTGAAAATTAAAAAAAAAGTAGTTTCCTCCCAAAATTATTTTTTTGAGAAGAAAAAAAAAAAGATTCTTCCTAGAAATATTTTTTTGAGAAGCATTTTTTAAAAAAATACACTTATAAACACTTTTTAAAAGCTTGGTCAAACACTAATTGTTGCTTAGAAGTGCTTTTCAAATTAATTAGTCAAATACAAATTGGTTCTTTGAAAAAAGTACTTTTGGTAAGAAAAAATACTTCTCAAAATAAGCTGATTTTTCCAGCTTGGCCAAAAAGGCTATAAGTTGGGGGGCGACAAACACATTTTAGTTTATCTACGCATTTGTTAAAATTAAAGTTTATAAGTCAAGTGCTTATAAGCCAAAATAGACATAAAGCCATAAGTTGGGGTGTTTGGACTGGCTTGTAAGATGATCAGCTTTTGAGCTCTTTTTAGTTTTTTTCAGTGTTTGACAAAATCAAAAAAGTGCTTAAAATAAGTTAAATATTGCTTAAAACAAGTCAAAAGCAAGAAGTTGGGCAAGCCAGCTTATTATTTTTTTAGTTTAAAAGCTATTTCTGGTGAAAAGTCACTTTTTTAAACCAATCCAAACGGGCTCTACGTGTTAAAATGAATGTATAATTACTTATATTTTGTACCATGGAATTAATTGCGGTCAAAATTAAGATGTTCCTTATGATCTCCCCTTGATGTAATTAAAAATATTTCTTCCTTGATTATTCCTCTTGTAAACAAATCTTTGTTATGGAAAATGTTAATTTGTTCGCAAAGACTTCACTCGGTCCATAAGATCCATTAAGGAAAATTATTATTCCCTCCCTCCCTATTTATCTGGTGATATTTCATTTTTAGTCTGTTAAAAAAAGAATGATATTTTATATCTTGAAATAATTTAACTTTAAAATTCGATTTCGTCCTTAATGAGATAATTTATTGCCATACAAATATTTATGGCTTATTTTGGACTACAAATTTTCATTTTTTAAATTTTTTTTCCTTAAATCCTTATGCAATCAAATATCATTTTTGAGTCCAACTGCTGAAAAAAAGCAAAAAAGAGAAAAAGTCTGCATAGTGATCTCTTTTGCTTCCCTTTCCTTTTCTATAGCCCTTTTTCTCAATTATACAAACGAGAAAATTTTACATGCGTTTGTGGTAGTAAAATTGTTTCATTACATATTTACGTGGTCTAAACTCATGATGGAGTTCTATAATATGATGTCTTTTTTTTCCCATCACTCAGCATAAAATTAAGCAACAACAACAACAATATATCGGGTGTGATCCCACAGGTAGAGTTTAAGGAGGGTTCAGTGTACACAAACCTTACCCCTACCTCGTGTGAGGTAGAGAGGTTATTTTCGATAGATCTTCGGTTTAAGCAAAATATTTTCAGAACATATTTGAAAAGTACAAGAGTAAAAATGCTATGATGAAAATCTATATCTATATATTATTAAAATGAGAGGAAAAAGCTCTCTCCTTAAGCCAAGTGGCATCATAAAAAAAATCACATGGCATAAGTAGTTAATAATTAGTTATTGGTTATTGTTTTTGAATTTAAANTAAGGGTAAGAGGTGAGAAGGGATTACACCAAGAAAGTGGGGAAGAGATAGAGAAAGAGATGCAACATTACACATTAACCATACCACTACTGATANATCACATGGCATAAGTAGTTAATAATTAGTTATTGGTTATTGTTTTTGAATTTAAATATCTATAAAATAATAAAATAAAATATTTTATAATTAAAAAAATTGTCCTTTCAAATTGGAGAGTAGTTTCAAGTTGGAGTCTTTAAATTATTTATATCTTCTACATCTATATATATATATAATAAAAGGAGAGGCAAAAGCACAATATTAAGACAAGTGGCATAACCACAAAAAGCNTCAAAAGCCTATTGGGCTGTTTCAATCTTCTGCTCCTACGCAGTTGATCCCCAGGCCCAAGTTTTTCTCCCATTTGGTCTTTCAGCCCAACTACATCATTATCCAACATTGGGTCCAATGACGGGTTCATAACAGACATAACCACAAAAAATCAAGTGGCATTAGGACAAAACAAACTACATTCTTAACTAAAAAACCTTTTGAATTTTAAATTTTGAATTAATTGGTTGGTTACTCTATTTGAATTAATAAATATGCATATCTTATAACTAACTATAATAAAAAAAATGAAAAAAATATGTATAAAAAACAAATTCTCATTTAAAGTGGGGAGTAGTTTCAAGTTGAAGTTTTAAAATTATTTTAAAATAAAAAAAACTAAAATAAGAAAAAACTAAAATTAGCTATAATAAAAAAACGAAAATATATAATTAAAAAACCTACCAATTCACATTGGGGAGTAGTTTCAAGTTGGAGTTTTAAAAATATTTTAAAATAAAAAACGAAAATAAAAAATAAAAAAACTTTCAAATTAAATTGGGGAGTAGTTTCAAGTTAGGAGTTTTAAAATTATTTTAAAATAAAAAAACAAAAATAAAGAAATAAAAAACTTTTAATTCAATTTGGGGAGTAGTTTCTTCCTAATATAGTAGTCTATATAAAGAACTATTTTATTTTATATATATAAAAAATAAGTAAATAATTAAATGATGCCAAGTGATATAACCATAAGACGACAAGTGTAGATTTTTAGGACAAAGCTCCAACAAAGTTGGAGTTTTAAAATTATTTTAAAATAAAAAATGAAATAAAAAAATAAAAATTGCCAATTCAAATTGGGAATTAGTTTCAAGTTAGAGTTTTAAGACAAAATAAACTTCTTTTCTAACTAAAATAACCTTTTGAATTTTAAATTTTGAATTAATTGGTTATTCTATTTGAATGATATAAATATAGGTATCTTATAATTAGCTATAATAAAAAATAAAAATATAAAAATCAAATACCCATTCAAATTGGGGAGTAGTTTCAAGTTGGAGTTTTAAAATTATTTATATAAAAAAATTGGATGTAAAAAAAAGAGGAAAACATATATATTAAAAAAACTACCCAATAAAATTAGGGAGTAGTTTCAAGTTGGGGTTTCAATATTATTTTACAATAAAAAACGAAATTAAAAATAAAATAAAATTGCCAATTCAAATTGGTGAGTAGTTTCAAGTTGGAGTTCTAAGACAAAATAAATTATATTTCTAACTAAAAGACCTTTTGAATTTTTAAAATTTTAAATTAATTGGTTACTCTATTTGAATTAAAAAAATATAGATATCTTATAATTAGCTACAATAAGAAAAAAAAAAAAAAAACTACCCATTAAAATTGGGGAGTAGTTTCAATTTGGAGTTATAGAGTTCTTTTAAAGAAAATGCCAATTCAAATTGGGGAATAGTTTTTACTAGGAGTTTTAAAATTATTTTAAAATAATTAAAACGAAAATAAAGAAATAATAAAAACTTTCAATTCAAATTGGGTAGTAGTTTTTTCCTAATATAGTAGTCTCTCTCTCTCTCTCTCTCTCTCNAAAAAAAAAATTATCTATAATAAAAAAAACGAAAATATATAATAAAAAAACCTACCCATTCACATTGGGGAGCAGTTTCAAGTTGAAGTTCTAAAAATATTTTAAAATAAAAAACGAAAATAAAAAATAAAAAAAACTTTTAATTCAAATTGGGGAGTAGGTTCAAGTTGGAGTTTTAAAATTATTTTTTAAAAAAAATAAAGAAATAGAAAACTTTTAATTCAATTTGGGGAGTAGTTTCTTCCTAATATAGTAGTCTATATAAATAACTATTTTATTTTATATATATAAAAAAAAGAAGCAAATAATTGTCACGACCCAACCTCCCTTCGTATAACGTCGTGACGACACCTAGTCTCTATGACTAGGTAAGCCTAACAAATTGCGAAAAATAACAAAACGAAAGTAGAACTTGGCAACTAACAACGGTGGATAACTGAGTAACTAGTAACAATGTCGCTCGGTACGTACAATAACCAATACTCTATAAATACAATCTTCCCAAAACCCGAAAAATCGTAAGTCACAAGCTACATAAGGAAACTAGTATCTCTATACACCAGAGTCTAACAAAAGAAGTACGGAAGGTAAATGACATATGAGAGAATGGAGGGGAACTCCGAGGTTTGCGGACGTGGCAGATGTACCTTAAAGTCTCCGTACAACAGCAAGCACTCTCAGCTAGTAGCGGGGCTAATAAGAAGCATCTGGATCTGCACACAAAACATATGCAGAAGAGTAGCATGAGTACACCACAACGGTACCCAGTAAGTGCCAAGCCTAACCTCGGTCGAGTAGTGACGAGGTCAGGTGTCACGACCCAAAACTAACCCCTGTCATGATGGCGCATATCATGGAACTAGGCAAGCCGAATCATTTCCAAAACAAACCGATATTTTTATTTTAAAGATAATTTCAATGTTATTTACCATACAAACCTTCGTAAAGGAGTTCAAATTAAAATAAAAGTGCGGAAGAAAAAGTCCGACATCGGGGTGTCACTAGTCATAAGTATCTACTATAATCTGTCTAACAATATCAAGGCTAACTCAGCCTGGAAAATAGTTAAATACAACTAGAGGAAGATAAGAGGGAGAAGAGCAGGGGCTGCGATCGCCAAACATCTACCTTGCTATCTCCAAGAAAATCTGCAACTAGAACACTCAATAACCGCTACCGTGTCCAGCTACACCTGAATCTGCACACAAGGTGCAGGGAGTAACGTGAGTACGCTAACTCAGTAAGTAACAACAATAAATAAAGACTGAGCAGTAGTGACGAGCAATGAAGCATATAACGTTCATATCATAAAATCTCAGTAAA